CTAAAACAGAGACTGGGCTGCCATTGTGCTCAAAGACTGTTTTGCACCAAGAACCCCGAGAAACCCGTTCTTTTGTGATAAAGATGAGAACTGGTCCAAGAACTGTTCAAGACTTTAGAGGAATCAATTTTCCTGCTAAAACCTCAGATTCAGAAACCTGCACACGGCCCCCAGGAAATTCTTCCTCCTGCTCTGCTAGATGGTACAGAAAGTAGCTACATTCAGATTAGGGCAATTATCTCTAATTTATCTTAAATACAAGTGTTTGAGGATACACTTACCACAGCATAAGTGCTAAAACAAAGTTCTTAACAGCAGCTCATTTAATAATTTACTTTTTTACTATCAAAACATCATTGCATCATTCCAGTTTCCAAGCTCAGATCAGAATTTCTTCTTTTCACTCAGGTGACCAGCAAATCTTAAGATTGCTGTCTTAAATCTTAAACAAAAGAGACCAACAGCATACAACCAGCAGATCTGTGTCCAATCACACAACTAAACTATCAAAATCCCAGTCCTTATACCACTACTGGGTAGTCTTCAAAAAATTAGGTTTTCAAAATACTGCATTTGCTGGTAAATTTATTTTTATAAACACATTGTGCTATCAGTGGCATTCTGTAGAGAACCAAGACTAAAATGTTTAGCTTTTTGAACAGTCGTCTCAGAACGAAAATTCAAGTATGTTTTATTTTTAAACTAATACCACATTTCACATGAAAAGTGCCAAATACCATAATTTCCAGGCAAAAGCTTTTATTATATTTGTGTGCCATAAAAATTTCACTACAGTGATCTGGTTCACAAGTAATCCTACTCTAACCTAAAATGTTCACAAAGCAAAACTGCTCAATCCTATTGTCATGCAAAGCAGTTATTTTGAAAATGCAAAACCAAAAGAATTAAAAAATTATAACTATACTATTTCAGATCACTTCAACTTTAATACTTCAGGGGCTGTTAATCCTTTTAATGAAGATCATACACAAAATTTACCTAGGAAAGAAAACTCACTACCAACAGAAAATCTGACAGTATTTTCAGAAAAACCTAGCAAATCTCTTTTGTTATGTCACAACATACCTTCTCTCTGACCTGTTAAGGCAGAAGCTTCAACCAATACAAACTGCAAAGCCATTAACTGTTTAACTTTCATAAGCTATTTACAAGTCTGCTTCTGTCATGAAAAATATCCATATTACTTAAATGCCAAGGTCTGCCACAAAGGAACAATTCAGTAAGTTGTACAACTTCAGGTCTTCAGTCTATCTTTGCTCCAATTCCAATATATTTTAAACATTCTCAGCTTTGGATTTTCTAAATTTAACTCCTTCAGTTGCTATGATACCAGCACCAAAATGAATGTTACACAATGCTCCTTACCAGATCAAGCAAAAGGATAATGAGCCATTCAAAAATAACTTCTGTTCCTTGCTCAAATAATCACAACAAGAAGGAAGCATTAAAGCCTGGCTGGTAGCATAAGCCACTAGCAACTCCATAGTTTTTGTCTCCTTTCCCTATCCCCTCTTCTGCAGGGGTACAGGACACACATTCAGTACTATCAAAACATTACAGTTCAACAATTACAACCCAAAATGGAAGGATGTGAAAGAATAAAAGGTACAACTAAGGACAGAGTCATGTGCACTTGAACCTTTCAAGTACTGCTATTACACCAAACACAGCGGGCTGTAGCTGTACAATCATTCCCCTTCCTGATGGCAGTGCCAGCTCAAGCAGCCCATCTCTCTGAGCTCCATCACTTGCTTGCCCCACACAAGCACACACCTCCCTGACATGTGTTTGTACAAGTAATGAAGACCCACAGTAACCCGACTGGGGACTAATCTAACAGAAAAATAACTATTTAGACATTTGATTGTTGGAGTTATTTTCTACAGTTCCCAATCTGCTTCACTGCACAGGCACAGAAGCATGTTGAGGGGCACAGATGACAATAGCATAATGGCAGGAATAACCAGCTCAGAACAACGTAATTTCTTAGACATTCAGCATCACATCTACTTGAGATGAACGCAAATAAGTGTTTGCCATCATTTATTTGCTTTTGTAACTGGACAGACAGAATTTGGGTTGGCTTTGTTTTGTTGATCAGGCTGGGAAGTGGCAATACAGGGTTCTGCATCAGTGCCATTGTTGCAAGTCCTCAGAGGCAAAAAAAAAGTACAAGTATTTCCAGGCCCATTCAGCTTGCACTGAAAACAAGTCAAGGCATTGCTGAGTCTTCTTCCTGCACCACAGACAGATCTTCAGTTGAATATTGTACGTTCTTAATCTATTTTGCAGAACCATTTTCAATGTCTCCTGTGGTCCACCTAACCTTTTCATGAGTCCCTCACTGAAAACCCAGTAGTTGCAATTATGTGTTCTTAAACTTAAACAACAAGACTAGGCAAGAAGGATTCAATGTATGAACTCAAGTTTTGCACTACTTATTAAAATCAGACTTCTGTTTTATAGTCTAAGTTGCTAACAGCAATTTTATTTTTGGCACATGGCATAATTTATACAGTAAGTAATGTATACAAGTAGAAGAAAAAACCACTAGTCTACTTTTTATTGTTAAATATATTTATAACATGGATCATATACAAATATTCTTAAAACAAAATAATCCAGTGTCCCAAATACCACAGAGTACCCCAAACAGCACTACATGACTATGTTTAAGTACGTAAAACCTAAAGGCAGTATTAATTTTAGTAAACAGACAACTTTCAGTTTCTAACTATTTTAATTCAACTCACTTACAATGTATTTTTATGCTTTGCCTTTATCACACTGCAGTTCCCTTTTTGTTGAATAAATCTATGACGTATCTGATATGTACAAATTTTCATCCATTCCAGCATATAGTTATAAATATTTAAAGTAATATGTTACCTGTGCACCAAGATCTTTCATGTAGGGCTCAAGTTCACTAAAAAGGTCATAGCCTTGATGGAAAAAAGCCAGATGGGCATACATAAATGATAACATCTAGAAGGAAAAAAGCGTATTTTTTTTAAAGGATAAATATTTATCAGATATCACATAAATATATCACTTAGCTTATTCACATAAACAAATTTAAAATACAATTTCAGAGTTAATTTCTGCTCTCTTGTGTCCTGGCAATTTGACATCGATATCTCATAGAGCTTCCAATGTTGTAAATAGACGTTCAAGGTAAAGGCAGCAAAGAACCAAGCCAAAAATCTCAGAACCTAGTTAATAGGATTAACCCCATTAACAACAAAACAAATCTATTTAAGGGCAGAAAATGACTTCTAGTTCATGTCATCTGAAACTTTTGTTATCTCCTGTTTAATTAGGAGATGTAAATTGGAGAGGGGCTACAGAATATATTTATTAATGATCCAAAACCATAACCTTTATGAACTTTAAGACTGTCCAGTCTTAAAAAAATAAAACAAATCAGGAAGAGGCAGAGCAGAACAGCAAGCAGCTATAAAGCTATGATACAACTAAAGTTTTTGCTATTTAAAGAAATTGAGGAAATGATGGGAGTGCAATTTTAGACCTAAAGGAAAGCACCATTTAATTTGGCAGTTTACCTCAGTAAACTTTTTACAGAGATAATAGGAAGCAGAAAAGGGAAAACAATCAGAAAAAAACTAGCATGCAAGTATAGTTGTATATTAATTTAGCAGATACCATACTAAAGAATATATTTGTTATTACTATCTGCTGTTTAAGTGAAAAATACCATTTTTGTAGAAAGAGCTGAATCCATCTTAGAATAGATTATAAGAAGTACTTATTGCTTATAAATGAATACAGCAGACCTAAACAGCAGATGAAGTTCCATTTTAACCATGAGACATACACCAAAGAATCAACAGCAATGAAAACCTTACAGTGTTCAAATCTGAACCAAAAGAATTGCCAAAACCAGTTAAGCATCTATGCCCAGTAAAAGTAAAGGCCAAACTGACTGTCCAAGTGCCAAATGTACTGGTAATGTTTTGATGGGTAAAAGGACTAAATTTTTAATATACTGCTTTGCAGTCACATTTTTAATTTCAGATGTATTTAAGTATTTTCTTTACAGGAAACAAAGTACTCTTACCGATTTTAAGATTTCTGATCTCCTTTTAGACTGAAGAACATTGATCTAGGAAAAAAACCCAAACAAACAAGCATCTTATTTTATTCTACTTGCAAATTTTCCCTGCACAAGTAAACTTCAAATTGCTTCTAAATAACTATATCAAAGCTTAAAACACTGGAAAAACATAACTCAATATAAGACTTCACAAAGCACTTTTAAAAGATGCAAGCTAGTTTTGTCATGATAGTAAAGCGATGCAATCAGAAAAAGCTTGCAAAGCTAGAATTTCACAGCGATAGTCACAACTTTCTTGTACTAGAAGGAAAACCGTAAGACATCATGTCCCAGATAAAAGTAATATGATACAACTTTCAATCAAGGAAAATCGGTACCCATTTTCAAGAGGTTGAATTCAACATGTTTCAAATACCCTTTCTGGCAGTACAAGCTAACCCAGCCCACCAACTTCTTAAGAAGCTGCCTCAGCACCATTGCTGTCTCCTGACAGGGGGGAAGAAAGCACCGGGGCATGTTTATTTTTCCCCTCCAGCTGACATTGTCTGAAGTGTTCCAAAACTGGGATATAGTCCCAGCCTCTGAAACAAGCAAGATCCTAATAGCTTCAATAAGTAACTTTCCATATATATATATATATGTATACTTGTACTTTTAAGCTAGCTGAAGTCACTATGGTGACACAACGGTATTGCCCTAGAACTTGAAGAATTTCACGTTGTATAGTAAAAATAACTGATTTTTCACATTCACCTAGTTACTCTGTCCTTTGTCCCCTGATCTTTAAGGTTGTCGTCTAGAACTACAGATTTTACTTTAAAAGCCCCATTTAGCAGAAACACTTTTGATTTTGTAATTTAACACCTGTGTGTCAGTTTAAAATTCCAGCAAAATAAATAAACTTACTGAAGCTATAATCAAAACCAGATTGTATCTCTTTATTTAAATAGTCAGTGTTTTGGAAAACCTTCTGCAGCAAAAATAATTACAATTTGTTTATATAGAACAAACCTTCAACTTGCAAAGCAAGAAAAATAAAAGGAAAGGAAAGGTTTTGAAATACAGTTTAAAGGCAGTATAGCTACAAAGAAGCCATAGTTGTGAAACCATTTTTCCAGGAAAAAAAAAATAAAAATAAAAAAAAAAATCACTCAAGCAGAAAGAATTCCTAAAGCTGAATTCATTTTTTCCCCACATTGAGAGATGCTGAAACTTTTCCCTTTTAATTTTAAATGCATCCTTATCACAGGAACTGCTCATACTTTGAATATATGAATTCCAGGAGGCAAACGAACTGCACAGCTCAATGCACGCACAAGGAACTGGCCTACAGTAATGTCTGCCAGCTTCCCCCCTCACTAGTATTTGCTGATAGTACAAATAATCAAGTGGTACATAAAAATGAAGTTTATTATTAGTGTTCAAAAGACAGTAGTTCAGTGTTGACCACTGACCTTATCTGTGCCTGTGTATCAGATCAATTCTACTTCACTTTACAGGTAATACAGGCAATTTAAAGAACAGATAAATCAAGATGATAACATCTCATATATAAAACCAACATAAATTTAAAGGGTTGCTCTGATCATCAGAGAACCCCATTTAGAACTTCCATTTAGAAGCCTCCCACCCCTCATACCACCCGAGTTGCAGTAATCCTGTTTTGCTGTAGTTGTGGGTAACTACAAATCAGATGAATTGTACAGATCGACAGAAAATTGATTATTATTTCACAGGATTCAAAGTCGTAGCACAAAAACCACCTCTCAACACTTCATAGGGGATCTCCACAATAAACCAAATGAGGAGTTATGTTCTTCATTTCCCCTATGGCACAATGCCAAACTCCAAGGCTTCTAGACAAGTAGACCCAAAGCAAACAGCTGAAATTGTAGTAGTAGCCAACATGCTGTATCAGAACAATTACTCAGGTAATTTGTATTTCCTAGGCTACGCTACAGTTTTTACTTCAAATATATAAGGAACTACAGCATGGCCAACTCTCAAAATACATTTAGATAAATGTCATATAAATACTGGTGGGTTTTTTTTCAAAATTAATGTTCAAGTTGAAAAATCAAACTGTGTCATTACAGCAACGGCACTAAATACCAAAGCATTAAGCAGTAAGAATGCATCAAGTAAATTAATTTTGCTCAGATTTCATAAAAAAAAAAAAAAAATTACTTGCAGACAAAGTTATTCCTTTTTCACTGAATCTCCACAGCTTTTGAGAAGTTTACAACAAGAACTTCTACAGGACAGATCTCTAACTGTATGTAAGAGATGGTTTTGAAAAATAACTTCCATTGCTGCACTTACCTGAAGAACATAATCCAGAGCTATGTGTCGAAAGCATTTCCGTGTTGCAGTCAAAATATTGGTTGCTTCCTCTACTTCATGTTGCTTATTTCTTTGAACTTGAGCGTTTTTTACTAGAGCATTCTCTTTTTCTTCACTAACTTTTTCAAACTGTTTCTTTGCATCTTTAAATTTCCTAATATCTCTAAAGAAAAAGGGAAAGATGGACAACAAATGAATTCCAAAGCATGGAAAAAGTGTTTGAAGATACACTAGACAAACCATGCTCGTGACTGTTACAGCTACTCTCTTTGTTTTCATATTCTTCAACAAATGCTTGGATCGAATGGAAAACATACAAAGTATGACAGCAGCTTCTCTGTCTTTCTCTTCTAAGAAAAGGACAAAATTGAAATTTAAATAAATGCATCTCATGCTTACTGGGAAAAGCTTTGGTAAGCACTTTTTTCCCTAAGCTTAGAAAATGACAACATGTAATTAAGATCAGTGTATTTCAACATTCCTGCAGCTGGATCTAAAGCTTCATTGATTTGGTGTGATTTCTAACAAGCTTTAATACTTCTCAATTTATGGCTGGCTATTTTCAGGAAAGATGTTTCACCAACCCACTCAAATCAGACGTTTTAAAATTCTATTTTACCTTTAATTTTCCCATTATGAGTGCAAATTAACTTACTCTTTAACAAAAGTCTGAAGCTGTGCTTTAATTGATCTTTGGGTTTGGTCAAAGAGGATCTGAAAGAAAAGCATTATTTTGTAGGTTAATAACAGGGGTATTCATAACTTTTCATTTTAGACATACACATGGTTATTATGCAGAATTAGATAAGAATTATTATTAAACCAATGTGTGTCTGATATCAAAATATAAAAAGTCTTCAAAGTAGTTTTGAAATAAAAAATAAATAAGGAATAAAATAAGGAAAATAACACAAACTCAACACCTTTTGCTGGTCTTCTTAAAGACTGTGGTTATAAGGAGAGACAAGAGCTCCTGGCATCTTATTCTCTCATCCTGACAATGTAAGACATGCCCACTTTCGTAGAACACGCTTATTAAAAGCCACAAATATTACTGTACAAATAGCCTTGAAGAAACAACTTTGAATGTTAAGTAACAACTTTTTTGATTCTTACAGACTTTCACAATTTAACCAACAACTAAAAGACAAATGAAGCCATAGAAAGAACACACCCTTCTGGCAAAAAAACAGACTGAAATTAATGCTGAAAATATAACATACATGAGTAATCAGTACCATCTCCTTTACATAATATGTTTGTAAAAAAAATACCCAGTGTTGAACTGCTAAGACAAATGCCTGCTTCTTTTTCTAAGATTAAGTGTTCTAAGCCATGCTTCTCAAATTTCTTATGATTTGGGCAGGCAGGGGGGCAGAATATAATCTACTCTTTCAAATTGTAAAGCTTGAGAAGTTTGTTAAGTTTCCAAGGCCAAAGCATACTTAAATATTAGACAACTTGTATTTTCTCTTACAACCCAGAAATTCTAACTTAGGAATGAAAACACCTATTCCTTCAGCTTCTGCTCTCATTTTTAGGACAGAATGGAACAGGTCAGTGGCTATGGGACAAATCCTTTTGCCACTTATCATTGTGCAGACCACAAGTGATGCCTTAATTTCCAACTGCTCTACACCTCCCATTGTGCACTATGGAAATATACAAGGCACAATCACAAAAAATAAAGAGGTGAAAGAATATAAGTATTAATTGGCCCAACTGAACAGAATTGCTTCCAAAAGCTGAAGAACTTTAACTGTCAAATAATTTTATTGAAAAAGCAAGTCAAGAACTTGAAGTTTCAGGTCAAACAATGTTTTCTTTAAGTGTTCTCAGCCTTAGTTTCCTTATTGACAAAATTTGGGAATGAGAAGCCATGCAATGCCAAGTACTGACAGCAAGACCCTTACCAGCTTATTTCTGTTTTCTAGAAAACACTGAAGGAAGGAAAACATGACTGCGTTTAAGTCACCCATTAACAGTGGTTCTATATCCTCTATCCAGTCTCCAACTTTGGAGGTTTTCAAGACCAAATTGGATAAAACCCTACACAACCCACTCAAACCTCAGAGCTGAGCGTGATTTAGGCAGGCAGTTGAACCAGACACCTTCTGGGGCCCCTTCCAGCCTGAACTGTCCTGTATCTAACAGTAACACACAGAAGATCCTGTTTGTATTCCCACTTTGGTAAACCAGAAAAACAGACAACTAGAATAGATAAAGAACTTCTTGACAAGCTGGAAGTCATGCTAGGACTACTCCCACTGCTGACATTTAAGCTTGCCAGTGCCTGAGGAGTGCACCAATCAGGATCAATACAGAAAGAGTATAACCAGATGGGAAGTCAAGCGATTAGTGGACTCCCAGAAATACAAGCCTTGCAACTCTGCTTACAGTAATGAAGAGGGGAAAAAGTGCTAGGCAGAAAAATAGACACATTTTTCCCTTAAAAGAACAAAAAAGTTGCCCAGACCATGATCTGACTAGATGTACAGCCTTTCCAACACATTACCTTCCACACACTCCAAACCAAGTCTAAGAAAGCTGCCATAAGCTGTCAAAGCTACTCCCCGACTGCTGAATCAGTGAAGATGCTGCATTCATCTGGTTCCTAGCCTTCCTTGTAGCAAAGCCTCATATGAGAAAACTGACAGTCATCCAGGTCACAGTGGAGCCGTCTCCTACCCCCTTCCTCCTTCCACTGGAGGATGCCTGCCTCTCTTCTTCTAGCTTCTTCTCACTCATGATGGTTCTCCTGCCAACTTGGTCAACAACAGGGCTGACACTCTGAGCTAGCAACTCTGCTGAACAAAGCAGATGCACAAAAAGCAATTCAGGACCACAACATGTCTGGCAAAGCTCTACACTGGAAGCCCGTAACAAGCCTCACTTCTTATGTTTGTGCCTGTTGGTAAAAGCCATTGTTCTACTCACTCTGCTTGAGCCCAACAAGGAAGTAGAGGGAAAAAAACCAGCACAGAACCAAGAGTAGTCCTACTTAAATCTGCAAACAAATCTTTTAATAAGGCTTGTTCTTTGCTTTCTGCCTTCAAACTGCCCTAAAGGGAGAGTTGTGCTGTGCCAAATTTTAACAAAGCACTGCAAGCTACAATCATGTAGAACAGTAACAGCAGCAAGAATAAAGGACCTAGGACAGATGTGTCAAAAGCAGCACACCATATAGCAAAGGCACAGTTAAGCGAGTAACCAGCAGCGAGAAGTGTGATGAAGAGTGTAAAATATGGACAGCCAGATTCATCTGCTCAATCTAGTCTGCAGAAATCACTGACATGAAAGTAACACTTTCTCCCAGTACTGCTGCTTTGAACCTGTGCACTAGCCTCTCTCTACCATCAAAGTGTCACTGTCCACTTACTCTCATTTTTACAATTTTCATAATATTAGGTGCAGATATGCACTCCTCATATAATGGAAAGAAAATCCAACTCAACAGTAATAACCTGCTTCCCTTTGTTTCCCTTCCCTTCTAAAAGGGCACATTTAAAAAAAAAAAAATGCCTAATAAGACAGTTTTAGGAAGCTAAGTTTATGCTAACAAACTGCATTTCAGCTTAAGCTGTTTGAACTGCATTCTCTCTATATCATTACATTTTAAACTCCTAGTGGTATAAAAAGAATACATTTTACGCACCCTGCATATTTCCACCACTTTGGAGACACTTCTGTTGCTTTCCAGCAATTTGCTGGAAAATTAAAGAAAAGCAGTAGGGGCCAAGGGAAGAGGAAGAAAATAGAACAAACAAATCCCTTTGGCTTTCAGGAGACAAGACTAAACTCTTTAGAAGAGTAAAAATAAATCAGTTTTCATTCCAAAACCGAGCTTTCTGATAAAGTCTGACATGCTAAAAATCACTGTTAGTCTTACATCCTAGCATTTTCTCCTTTCTCTACACTTGTCTAAATCTGTCATACTTCCAAAAAGAAAAATGCACACAAATCAGAGGTGCTTCACTTTGTGCATTATAAAGGATATGGGGAAAAAAAGTAGAAATTATGGAAAAGGTAGTCACTATTTCAGTCCAGCAAAGAAATATGCTCATAGTTTGTCACTGCTGCCCGTTCAGCTTGATTAAAAAAGATGAAACAATACAGTATTTATTCTGTCTTACAGCACTGGGTTTTAGCAAAGCTTACAAATTCCAAACGAAAAATAAAGTGAGATAAAAACCTGCAGAAAAGGGGATAAATACTTCATAAACAAAATATAAACAAAACATTTACAAGTATAAAATGACACATATTTAATACCACTTAAACCACGACTTTGTGAATACTACCAACAAGAAAAGCTTTTGCATTATTCTGTTATCAAATATAACTGAAGGCAAGCTCTCAGTGTCACATTTCAGCTAGAAATACTTACATTGTGATAATTGATCATTTCCTGTAAGGTATCAGAGAACTTTGACAAGCTGGCCTGTAAAGTGAAAAACAAAGTGGTTCAAGTTAAACCCTACCAAATACACCGCACGAAAGCAATGTTTCAGAGGTTTTCAGTAAAGAACTTGGGAACTGATTTTCCTTAACATTATTATGAAAATAAAACCATTATGCTAGAAGGAAAACATGTGGGTACGTGGGTAATATCAAGTAAATTTATTAAAGTTAGAAACAACAAAAATGTTACTGCTACCTAACTATATACAAAGGACCAAACTGAAACAAAAGCTCACTCTTAAAACATCTCAAAGAAAAAGGAGCAAAAAGGTAAATAATAGTATAAACTTCAACTACTTCTCTTGCCAACTGTCATACTTTACCCTTTTTAAGTTATGCTTTTCTCCTTCCATTTTCACCTCTTAAAGAACTTACCTCAACCAATGCATCTTTACAGGAATATTGTGCAAGGTCTCGAATTCCATTCATGAACTGCTTGTTGGCTGTACAGAATGCTTTCCCAGTATCAATCATTGCAATACAAAGCTTCACCAGCTAAAAGGAGGAAAAAATGACAAAGTGGAAGGTTTTTTTGTTTGTTTTTTTTTTTTTTTTTACACCACCATATAAAAATGAAACACACTGAGCTTAGTTAAGTCTAAGAAACAAAGATTTCAAAAGTTAATTTCTAAATTTACAGAGCCCCACATTCTACGAAAAACTTTCTATTGTATAGTGATAGCTATAAAAATACTACTCCAGGTCAACTGATATGCCGTTCAGAAGGTTACTGCCCTTTATAAAATAATTTTTCATTCTTTGTTTTATTGTTAACTGAGATTTTGCACATATTTCAAGAGAGGGCTGTATAAGGGCAAAAAGCACAGCAACATCAATGGTTAGAACCCAAGCAAGTGTTTTGTGGTTTCCCAGCCAAAAAAAAACCACTAAAGAAGCCCACACCAGTTGTTTCATCTTGAGACACTCAGAAGACAGGCACAGGAAAGCAAAAGGCTATCTGCAGGAAGTACAACCAAAGAGAGACGGTTACATCTCAGCAAGCGAAATCGATCATGTTTTCACTCGTACAACAGACCAGTCTTTCTCTGATGGGTTTCCATCCCTACCCCTCACTGCATAGGTCAGCACCTTAGCTATCATGGTACTGCGGTCTGATATGAAGGCCAGCAGTATCTTGTGAGTTTTCCCACTTTTTGAACCATTTATGCACTGGGCCATTAATGAAAGAGAAAGAATGATCAGTGCAATCACTAAGATGCTCTCTGGAGAGAAGGCATATTGTAATTGAGTTTCCCCACTCTAACTAAACCAAACTGAGAAGAAAATTAGAAGATTGAACCTTCATCTCTGAAGGATTTTTCAAGGATGTTAGACATACTTTAATGAAGAGCAACACAGAAGTACTCGATCCTGTGTTGGGGTAAAGAAACCACCCAAGTGACCTTTCTGCCTTATTTACCCAGTAATTTTTATGTTGATTCAGACTTTCTTAGGAAAAGAAGAAATCTGAGCATCATCTCCCATGTTCTGATGAATGGCCAAGGTGCCTGAACAATGGACAGAAAAATCACTACCCACACGATCCCTTTTTTCTTTCACTTTTGCTTATGGTTCACAATCCTGAAGCCAGCATCCATTCTTCCAGAGAGGAAAATTACAGATGACGTAGACCAAAGTCACAATTGTAGGACAATAAAACTAAATTCAGTATGAATAACTGAGCAGAAAAAGTTACCAATCAAGTCTATACAAATCATTACCCTCAGGCCACAGTTACTTCAGCTCACATAAGAAGCTTGGCTTTCAACTTAAGCATTATACCAGATCACTTATACTTACACGATAGAATGGTATACTTGGCACTGGCCTCCTGCAAGAGACTGGGGGCAAGGCCCTGAGTAATGCCCCTTGAAGAATTTGAGAATTCTTTTCCCCAAGAATGACCCTCTTAGACTGGTGGAAAACAAAAACTTCCAAGACGGATTTTTTGGATCCTTTAAATACTTACATGGTTTAATGCACCAAAACAGATTCACCATCCCTACAGTACAAATATGTCTTATATCCATCAGTTTTCCCAAAATTCACACAAAATCAAGTATCTTAAATTTATTTTGAAATCAACAAATTGTTACATTATTACCTACAAAAGCTAGAAATATTATTACAAGCAACAAAAAGTCTTCAAACTTAACACTACACTTGACACTGACTTCATTTGTCTGTCTCTCTACAGCCAACTCGCAGCTGCAGGAACAAAAGTTCATATTTAAAAAGTAGCAAAGGAGGTGAACAAGTGACATCTGCCTGCCACGTTAAAACACAGGCAAAAAATAATTTTAAACATTTAGCATAAAAATGCCAAGGAAAGGAGACGTTCTACAGATGCAAAACAAAAATAAACCACCCTCAAAATACTAGCAAAGAACAAAAGCCTCCAAATACTACTGGCTAGGAAACCAATAAATTGATTTTAAGACACTGAAAAGATGCTACGTGTAACCTTTTATACACATGCACAAAGCATGACAAAAAGCAGGATGAATTTCACAGTAAATATACCTATATACACCTATCCTGCTGTGCCTGTGCTGCCAGAGACAGAAAGCACCGCCTTTAAATCTCTAAATGCAGATGTCCTCACAGCACACAGCTGTTGTAGAACACAGGCTCTCAATGCAGGAATGGCCAACCTGGCTTTTAGCTCCTATGACAGCTGAATTAGTTGGCATGTGGCTCCCACTGTGGGGCTGTCACGAGTGCAAGGAGGCCACGCAGGCAGGAGGGATTGCACAAGTCGAATCCTCAGCTGGAGGAGAAAGTGAGTTCACACTGGCTGTTGCTGTTGCTGCTGTTACTCAAGCTTCAGTCTCTGGGGCCCAGCTGTGCACTCGACCCAGATCCGTTCCCTCTGCAAGAGCAGAACACTTGGCCAGTGGCCACTGCCGCTTCCCAGCTATGAACTTTAAAACAAAACCTAAACATATCTTTTTATATTTCTCAGAACAGACACTGGTGAATTTAAAAAGCTTACCTTGTCAAGTTTCAGTTCCAGTTCTGTCACATCTCCTTCTACTTCTTCTAAAGCTGCCCTGCATGGTTAAAAAAAAAAAAAGTTTCCTGTAAAACTTTACACAAAATACTCTGGGACTTGGGGAAAGGGGCAGGCACACGTTAATTTAACCCATTTATGGCCATCACAGTTTCACTTCAACTACAAAACAGCATAGATTTTAGAGAACCACAAGAATTGCAGAAAAATTGACAGTAAAAAGAAGAAAAACTACATTACTGATAAAACATACAGCTTATTAATAAAGATTTGAGATGAAATTCTATTAATCCTAATGTCTGCCACATTGAAATAGGTTTCCTCTGTTCTTGTATAGCCAATAGTCTATATGTTTGAAGGCAGTAACAAAGAAAAGAAACCAAAAATCTGAGTGAAATTTCTTAAGGAATTACTTTGGTGACTTTCCTGGCTTAAACCTGCAAACCTACAGCTATTTAATGAATAACCCTGCAATGAGATTATGAAAAATATCTGCTATAAGTCAACTGACTTATCAGTAAGTTCAGATGGCACACTTCTTTATATCCTTTGCCTCCAGTCTAGACCTGTTGCAACTTTCAGGCCAGTCAAATTTGACTTGCTAGTAAGAGTTGCTTCATGAAGCATTTCTAAAGCCTAACGTTTTCACTTGAGAGTTGATGTTTCCTTTGACATCTCCTCCCTTGCTTATTGCTACCTGAAAAGACAGAAGACTGAGAAAGGATGACACTTTGCTCAGAGAGTTCATGAACACTGCTGTTTCATCAGGCTACTGCCTTGAGAGCTTGAATGTACTAATTTCTGGCAATGAATGCTACACTACAAAAATCTATTCACCGAGGCTGGGATTTCACATGCCACAGAGGCTGGTAGGAACAGCTGTATTCCCATCACAGGGTACCTCATCCTTTCAGTCATTCCAACATAACTGTTCACGGAGCCACACTGTTCACTGGTAGTAGTTAACTTTGGGGGGAAAAAAAAAAAGTGATAGGAAGTATTTTGTAATGCTTTTTGGAAGACTGGATCAGATACATTTCACTCCTACGTAAAACTCTTCCTGGAAAAAGTGAGACAGGCAGGGATGTACAATTTGGAGCAGGAATTTCTTAACTCAGCTTTACAACTGAGGAGAGAGCAGAGAGAACCACAGCTTTACTGTCTCTTGCTAATTCTGTTCCAGTTCACATGAGTTCAAGCCAAGAACAAAAAATAAAAAGACGACTGGATCAGGCCCCAAACTCGGGAAAAGCCGTTTTTACAATAATAGTTCTGAAAAACGCTGCCAACTGCCTGCAGTTCTCAAACACTGAGCATGACATTCCCAGCTTTTTGCAGATTGCACTAACACATAGTTGCATTCCAGTTCTTGCATCTAAGGGCATTCCCACAGTTACATCCTAGGTTTTATATCTAAGCACATTCCTGCACAGTTACATTTTGGCTTCTGACCCTTCTCTAGCTTCAGACCATGAAGGATTTCAGGCAACATCAATTTCTCTTTTACCTTCTTATTTTCTTCCGTAAATTATTAACTTTCATTTAAGTCTCTAGGAGCTAAATCTTGTTTCAGAGAGCCTTACAGAGGAAAAAAAAAAACAAAACAAAACAAAGGAAGGAAGAGTATCTCAATATTTAGACTGCAAGTTCTGTTGTTTGTTTACAATCACAGCGTAACCAACTTTTATTTGTTTCTTTGGCATTAACATAAAAGCATGATTAAGTAGCTTGTTTATAGAAATGCAGCAAGATCTGATAAGAATATTTTCTTTTTTATTTTTTTTAGTGTCTTTAACTAGCCAAGAGTTCTAGCTCCACAAGACTTAATGAGCTAAAAAGTCTAAGATTCAAGATGAAGAAGAAAGATAAAGGCAGTTAGAGCAGGCAGAATGAAGACAACACATCTGCTTGGTAATTAAAGCTCTATTCCAAGGAGAAAATTTTAAAACAGAATAAGCTCGAGTGAAAGAGAAGTAACAACAGAACAACAGACTGAAAAGATGCAGGGCAGGTCAAGAAAGAAGAAGTACGAAGTAGAGAGATATCATGGGGAGAAGGGAAACATCCAGCCCCTCCAGCACCTGATTCATTTCAGATCATCTTCGGATGACACAGGCCCCTGCAGCACCAGACTGGTTCTCTGGGCCGTTTCCCATCCCCACCACACGATGGAGGGAAGGCACGTCTGGGCCCTACAGCCCCATGTGGATCAAACAGCTGCCAGGTTCCAGCCAAACACCGCTTCAGCTCCTTGTTTCTCTGCACAGGTCTGACTACTTTCACCGCTTCCATCATATAAAAACTAGTAGAAAAGTTATTCTCACACAAGCATATTTGCAGTATTAGACCAACCCTGGATTACAAGTGTAAGCACAGAAGGGATGCCCTCTGACTATCAGAATATAGATACCTACATCTAATAATGTATTGACACCATCTAGTCACAAAAACTGTCTTCCTACTGGGTTAGGGAACACATTCAGAACATCAGAACCGAGCTGTCCATTGTTAATGTTATCCTTGGTTTTCTTAATTTAATATTTTTTGAAGTCAGAGAATACAAAGGTGCATTTCTTTCTCCAAAACATCTGTGTCAGGAATTAAAGTTCACAGAAGATTATCAGAATTCTGAGTAAATCTCATGTCCACAGCCAAGACCAGATCTCCAGCTATAAACACAGGAAGTGGCCATAAAACAGCTGAGGATCAAGTGCCAGACCTGACATGTACCAAAAATGTTGCTCCTTTAGTGAAGTGGGAGCTGAGAGCAGGGTTTGCGTCAGGGTAATCCCAGCCAGAAGGCTCTGGCATTAGGAATAAGGATCAAATCTGCCACAGTATATGAATCAAAGTCAAACATCTGTGGCTTCCCAAGATGTTCAAACACTGCATGGCAACACACAACACCAGAACAGCTGCTTAAGGGTGGAGGACAACTTTTACAAATGAACAGTCACCCGTACTCTTCATGCTCCGTAACGAGGACTCTCAGGAATGTGTTTCTCCCCTCTGCTGTTCCTCCTCTTCTCCATCCTCCCTCCTAAAACACAGTTCAGCTTGCTAGATACAGCTTCCTGCACAGCCACAGCTGCAAGGCAGGAGGAATAGAGGAGATGATGGAAGAAAACTCTAGACCTGACTTAGCAGCCTTTTTAAATGAGGATAACGTCACAAGTTACCTCGCCCAGCATACGACAAAGGAAAGCTGAACTCTCTGGTGTCCATCACAGCACTCCCCTCAAGTGAGCAGTGAAAGACTTGCTTCCAGGTTAAGATGCAATGGGACTCCAAGAATCTCAGGAGCCAAACAGAAAGATGACAGTTCTTTCCTCTAGAAAGAGGATCGGTCACTCTCAGGCCACAAGCTGCAGACACATCCTAAGTAAATAACTTAGCCTGGACTAGCCCACTACACACTGCTGACCGTAATGCCAAGCACACTATGGCCACAGAGCTTGGCTTGTTCACTCTTACAGTGTAAAAGGTGGGAATGGTCAATGCTTTTAAAGTCAGTTATTCTTAGAATGATATCTAACTGCCATCGAAGCCACATCCTGCCTTTAGTCCTTCACTCATTCATCATGTTCTAGCCTGCATTTCTAGACTGTGCTGCTGGAAGTGAAGAGGTTGGAATCATTAATCTTTACAAATTAGATGCCAACAAACTGGAGAAGTTTAATTCCCATGCTAAATACAAACCCAACAGAGTAGAGATTAGCTGCAAGCTATCTGTGCATCCCACAGTGGTAACACAGTTCTAGATGTGTGTAAAAATAAGACTATATCAAAATTACCAAGCACTTCTGCTATAGCTTTGTATGACACCTGTGATGCCCAGATTCAGATGAAAAGAGCAGCAAGACAGTGACTTCTAATCCTTTTGATCCCAACTTGATCAAACTAAAACAAAATTAACACTGCAGTTGTTAATGGATCTGGACATCATTCTGGACAGTGACTGGATTGGCAGAGTCTAGTTGG